CACAGACTGGTACACGCCCACAGACAGACTGGTACACGCCCACAGACAGACTGGTACACGCACACACACAGACAGACTGGTTCACGCCCACAGACAGACTGGTACACGCACACACACAGACAGACTGGTACACGCCCACAGACAGACTGGTACACGCACACACACAGACTGGTACACGCCCACAGACAGACTGGTACTCGCACACACACAGACTGGTACACGCCCACAGACAGACTGGTACACGCACACACACAGACAGACTGGTTCACGCCCACAGACAGACTGGTACACGCCCACAGACAGACTGGTACACGCACACACACAGACTGGTACACGCCCACAGACAGACTGGTACACGCACACAGACAGACTGGTACACGCACACACACACACAGACAGACTGGTACACGCACGCCCACAACAGTTCACTGGTACACGCACAGACAGACTGGTACACGCCCACAGACAGACTGGTAACCCGCCCACAGACAGACTGGTACACGCCCACAGACAGACTGGTACACGCCCAACAGACAGACTGGTACACGCCCACAGACAGGACTGTACACGCCCACAATACACGCAACACAGGACTGGTACACTGCCCCACAGACAGACTGGTACACGCACACACACAGACAGACTGGTTCACGCCCACAGACAGACTGGTACACGCCCACAGACAGACTGGTACACGCACACACACAGACAGACTGGTACACGCACACACACAGACTGGTACACGCCCACAGACAGACTGGTACACGCACACACACAGACTGGTACACGCACACACACAGACAGACTGGTTCACGCCCACAGACAGACTGTACACGCCCACAGACAGACTGGTACACGCACACACACAGACAGACTGGTACACGCACACACACAGACTGGTACACGCCCACAGACAGACTGGTTCACGCCCACAGACAGACTGGTACACGCCCACAGACAAACTGGTACACGCACACACACAGACTGGTACACGCCCACAGACAGACTGGTACACGCACACAGACAGACTGGTACACGCACACACACACACAGACAGACTGGTACACGCACACAGACAAACTGGTACACGCACACACACAGACTGGTACACGCCCACAGACAGACTGGTACACGCACACAGACAGACTGGTACACGCACACACACACACAGACAGACTGGTACACGCCCACAGACAAACTGGTACACGCACACACACAGACTGGTACACGCCCACAGACAGACTGGTACACGCACACAGACAGACTGGTACACGCACACACACACACAGACAGACTGGTACACGCACGCCCACAGACAGACTGGTACACGCCCACAGACAGACTGGTACACGCACGCCCACAGACAGACTGGTACACGCACACAGACAGACTGGTACACGCACGCCCACAGACAGACTGGTACACACACACAGACAGACTGGTACACGCCCACACACAGACAGACTGGTACACACACACAGACAGACTGGTACACGCCCACAGACAGACTGGTACACGCACACAGACAGACTGGTACACACACACAGACAGACTGGTACATGCACACAGACAGACTGGTACACGCCCACAGACAGACTGGTACATGCACAGACACAGACTGGTACACGCCCACAGACAGACTGGTACACGCCCACAGACAGACTGGTACACGCCCACAGACAGACTGGTACACGCACACACACAGACAGACTGGTTCACGCCCACAGACAGACTGGTACACGCACACACACAGACAGACTGGTACACGCCCACAGACAGACTGGTACACGCACACACACAGACTGGTACACGCCCACAGACAGACTGGTACACGCACACACACAGACTGGTACACGCCCACAGGACAGGACTGGTACACGCACACACACACACAGACAGACTGGTTCACGCCCACAGACAGACTGGTACACGCCCACAGACAGACTGGTACACGCACACACACAGACTGGTACACGCCCACAGACAGACTGGTACACGCACACAGACAGACTGGTACACGCACACACACACACAGACAGACTGGTACACGCACGCCCACAGACAGACTGGTACACGCCCACAGACAGACTGGTACACGCACGCCCACAGACAGACTGGTACACGCCCACAGACAGACTGGTACACGCCCCACAGACAGACTGGTACACGCCCACAGACAGACTGGTACACGCCCACAGACAGACTGGTACACGCACACACACAGACTGGTACACGCCCACAGACAGACTGGTACACGCACACACACAGACAGACTGGTTCACGCCCACAGACAGACTGGTACACGCCCACAGACAGACTGGTACACGCACACACACAGACAGACTGGTACACGCACACACACAGACTGGTACACGCCCACAGACAGACTGGTACACGCACACACACAGACTGGTACACGCACACACACAGACAGACTGGTTCACGCCCACAGACAGACTGGTACACGCCCACAGACAGACTGGTACACGCACACACACAGACAGACTGGTACACGCACACACACAGACTGGTACACGCCCACAGACAGACTGGTACACGCCCACAGACAGACTGGTACACGCACACACACAGACAGACTGGTACACGCACACACACAGACAGACTGGTACACGCACACACACAGACTGGTACACGCCCACAGACAGACTGGTTCACGCCCACAGACAGACTGGTACACGCCCACAGACAGACTGGTACACGCACACACACAGACTGGTACACGCCCACAGACAGACTGGTACACGCACACAGACAGACTGGTACACGCACACACACACACAGACAGACTGGTACACGCACACAGACAGACTGGTACACGCACACACACACACAGACAGACTGGTACACGCACGCCCACAGACAGACTGGTACACGCCCACAGACAGACTGGTACACGCACGCCCACAGACAGACTGGTACACGCACACAGACAGACTGGTACACGCACGCCCACAGACAGACTGGTACACACACACAGACAGACTGGTACACGCCCACACACAGACAGACTGGTACACACACACAGACAGACTGGTACACGCCCACAGACAGACTGGTACACGCCCACAGACAGACTGGTACACGCCCACAGACAGACTGGTACACGCCCACAGACAGACTGGTACACGCACACACACACACAGACTGGTACACGCCCACAGACAGACTGGTACACGCCCACAGACAGACTGGTACACGCACACACACAGACTGGTACACGCCCACAGACAGACTGGTACACGCCCACAGAAGACTCACACAGACTGGTACACGCCCACAGACAGACTGGTACACGCCCACAGACAGACTGGTACACGCACACAGACAGACTGGTACACACACACAGACAGACTGGTACACGCACACAACACAGACAGACTGGTACACGCACACAAACACAGACTGGTACACGCCCACACACAACACAGACTGGTACACGCCCACACACAGACAGACTGGTACACGCCCACAGACAGACTGGTACACGCTCACACACAGACAGACTGGTTCACGCACACACTGGTTTTTATGGGTGAACCTCCCAATGATTGAAGTCAGACATCTCATTTTGTTTTTCTACACCTCACACTCCCCTTCAAAAGAAAAGCCCTATAGATGTAATGCTACTTGAACTTATACTACAACTTCCATTTCATATCTAACTCCTTCAGCCTACTTTCAGCAACAGAGACCATTCAACTGATCAAATATTCAGCTTACAGTTTACAGCATTCACACGCATTTTCAGCAGGAAATACATTTTCTCGTTGCATTAAATGAGTCATTTCACCTTCATATCGTCACATGCTTTTCCTTTTTTTATATAAAGAGTTGTTCTTTGTTCAATGCTTGCCAAACAACAAGTTACATAGTACTACACATATAATAACAGAATATCGCTTTTTCTTAAATATAAAGCATTTTCTGGTTGATTTATTGTATGAAAGCATGTCATACTAATTATTAGAAGTCGTATACACATATATAATGTGTTTTTCTTTAATATAACACATGTTTACATCACATGTTACATGTTAGACGCTTTTATCCAAAGCGACTTACATACTCAATACTGAGGACAATCCCCACAGGAGCACTTTGGGGTGGAGTGTCTCAGGGACACAACGACATGCTGACTGCAGTGGGGTTTGAACCTGTGACCCCCTGATCCGAACACCTACGGACAAACCACTACGCCACACGCCAGTTTAAAGTGTATTCAGTGCATACACCATGACACGTTACAAGTTATAATATATCATAAGAAAATAGCAGTGTATGGTAAGGTGTGTTTTGATGTGAGGTTTTTAGAGGTGTGTTCATTGTAAATAAACAGGACACATTTGGAGTTATCTGTATATAATTACACAGCAGTAACGGCTCAGAAACACTGTATTATCTGTATATAATTACACAGTAGTAACAGCTCAGAAACACTGTATTATCTGTATATAATTACACAGCAGTAACAGCTCAGAAACACTGTATTATCTGTATATAATTACACAGCAGTAACAGCTCAGAAACACTGTATTATTTGTATATAATTACACAGCAGTAACAGCTCAGAAACACTGTATTATTTGTATATAATTACACAGCAGTAACAGCTCAGAAACACTGTATTATTTGTATATAATTACACAGCAGTAACAGCTCAGAAACACTGTATTATCTGTATATAATTACACAGTAGTAACAGCTCAGAAACACTGTATTATTTGAGTAGTTTCGGTGTGATTGGTTGTCGTCATTAGAGATGAAGTCATGCGTGGAGGAACTAATTTCACCTCACATTACATAAACAAGTCCAACAGAATACGCCCTCCCCTATTGGTGGCTCCAGCTGTCAATCACAGAGTGCATTGCATCACTCTGCCTCACACTCGCCTGTGATTGGCCTAACCACTCGCTCGCCCCCGCCTTCTGGCCTCTGATTGGCTGATACGGGAAATTGCCCTACATGGTGATAGAGATTTCGCAATACTCTCCTCTCCATGTTCCAAACAAACACACTCAGAGACAAACAGAGACGGGATTTAACTCTCTTTTTTACGGGAAATCTTTCCCTTTTGACGAATGGTTGACTCTACCGCCGCCCCCTAAAGGTAAGCCGTGTTTTAAATGTATATTTAGGACAGAGAAACAGAGAAAACAGTGAGGTTTCGAGGCTTGTTAGCATCGGGAGCTAACAGGCTAAACGGGTAGTGAACGCCTCGACGGAGGAAACAGAAAATAAAGATTGATTTGTGATTAAAATACAATTAAAACACTAATTATGGTTTGTTTTCTGAGTGTTTGTGACTAATTCAGTGAGTGACAGGTGAGTGAATGATCCACTGGCTGCTTCCTGGGAACAGAAAGTTGAGAAAAGTGATAATAATCATACAAATAATAATAATAAAGCTTTAAAGTGTGTTAAAAACAAGGCAAACATCTCATATAGAACAGATTTCACTTGCATTACAACACCGTGATATAACAGTGTAATAGTTTAGAGACACAGCAGGTAAAAGGTGTGTTAATAAAACAATACCATAATATTAATAGTCCCAATAAATAGGACAAAAAACAATATAATAATAATATAAATAAATACTAAATAACTAATAAGAATAATACAGGTCAAAATATTAAAAGGAGTGTCTCTAATAAAATAGTAAATAAAGAATACAAGTGAAAACCTTTACAAATAAATACAACAAAATAGAAATAATAAAGATTAAAATATATGTTTAATAAAAAGCTAATTTAATAAATGTAAAGACGTGTTTCTTTAGATGAAACCCAGGATAATATTTATATTTTAAGTCTCTTTAAATCTGTGATTTTAGCCTCTTGTTTCCTCCGGAGTTCCCCTTCAAACAGCGATGATGCAACACCAGGCAACAGCTCTGTTTCCACCCGGAGCGCTTTCCGCTGCGCACACCGCTGCATGGCAACCGATAGCAACGCCTCGACCAATCAGCGCGGCTAATAAACCAATCAGAGCGGCGTTCATAATAAAACCGCGGGATATTTATCAACCAATCAGCGCGTCGGAGTAAAGACACGTCACAGAGCGAGGTGTTTACAGATGAGTTAAAACACACGTTATGGGTTTTATCTCTGGAAATACATGTTTTTTAAATTATAAAAAATGTAAACAAGAGCTGCAAATATTAGAGGATTTTTTTGGCTGTTCTTAATATTTATTTTAATGCAAAACAAAGTTATTCTGTAATATCATTTCTCATTAGTGCTTTGTATTAACCCTACCTGTACACCTGGGTTTATTGATATTTGTCTTTGCCTGTTTACCTGTTGTCCCTGAACATCAGATATTTTGTACATATTTGTATTTAAATGTTTTTCTATGGAGCTTCATTTTTGATTATATTTTATAATGTTTTTCTATTCAGTTTCTATTTTAATTCTGATATATTTCACATACTTTTATAATATTTAATTATAATTCTCTTCCAATCAGCTTTCATTTAAAACGAAAGAATATTAAGATTTTTATTTTGTATGTACTATAATATTATTTCCTTTTTATTCATATTTTAATTCCATTTATCTTCCAAGCCACTTTCATACTAACTCAGAAATTGCAGTATTTCCCATATTTCCATTGAAATGTCTATCATTGTCTAAATGGATGTTTATTGACGGCAACCTTACCTTCTCTCTCTCCAGGCTCTATACAGGTGAACTCCTAATTCACTGCACACCGAGGGACTCGAACCGTTGCACCCGAAGGCAACACATCACTGAGCCGGCTGTCCCAGGCGAAAACAAACAGCCTCGACCAATCGGCATCCAGCGTGAGCGTGATCCAGAGACAGACCCCCTACACCCCCCCCCCCCAGCAGGAGGTAAGACCTGCCAATCAACCAATCAGAGCGCTGCTGATAATTAACCACGGAATATTAATCATCACCAATCATTACATTTAATCTAGCTGAGGCTTTTATCCAAGGAGACGTTCAATAAGTGCAAAAACCATCCTTTTAATCATTTGCCTGTGAAAGAGAGGGAAAGAAGACATTCAAAAAGCTCAGTAAAAGTAACACGAGTTGCAAAGTCAATTTAAAGGTCCCCTATTATTACTATTACAACATTATTATGTCTTCTCTACATCCATGTGTCCCCGGTGTGTCCCCGGTGTGTCCCCGGTGTGTCCCCGGTGTGTCCCCTGGTGTGTCCCCGGTGTGTCCCCGGTGTGTTCCCGGTGTGTCCCCGGTGTGTCCCCGGTGTGTCCCCGGTGTGTTCCCTGGTGTGTCCCCGGTGTGTTCCCTGGTGTGTCAGGAGACTGACTAATGGCGCAGTTCCACTACAGCGCGGAGCTCGCTTTAAGCGTGCCGTGTCGTGCCGTGCCCGTTTTTGGTTGCGCTTCCACTAGGCCTAGTTACGGCCCGGCCCGGGGCCACTTTTTCACCTCTTTTCTGGCCCGACAAAATTGTGGTTCTATCGAGGCCAACAAACAGGGCTGAGTCGGGCTGAGTATGCTAAACTAGAGAGAGGAGCGCTGGCAAGGGGGCTACAACTACAACAAGATGGACATATTTGACCGTGATTTAATTGTAATACACGTTTCAAAATGATGCCGAAGTAACAACATACTGATACCGGTTAGTAAAAACCATGAATTAATGCTTTGACAAGTCTGCAGACAGACGGCAGGGGAAAATGCGTGTTTTCTAAATGGAGATTGGCTAAGCTAATGCAGTATATGCTCCGACCGTCCACACTCACAACAACGGCCTACAGACATAAATAAAGTAGCGACTGTATTCTCCATGACACAGGCAGTCTGTGGTTTGTACTTGTTTAACTTTTGTCTAGTTTCTGAACAGATATGAGGAGCTGTTAGCTCTGAGTGCTAACAGCTAACGGCTGTGTTGTTTTTCTGGGGTTCTCATTGAAGATGACGTCACGGCTCCGCCTACACTGCGTTACTATAGTAACTACCCCAGTTCCTAAACTGTAATGGAAGCGCAGCATGAAGTGAGTCGGCCCTGTTAAGGCCCAACGCGGCCAAGCCGTACCGAGCGTGGCCGAGGCCGACCGTGTAGTGGAACTGCGGCATTAGTGATGTCTTCTCTACATCACGATGTGTCCCCGGTGTGTCAGGAGACTCACATAGTGATGTCTTCTCTACAGCACCATGTGTCCCCGGTGTGTCAGGAGACTCACATAGTGATGTCTTCTCTACATCACCATGTGTCCCCGGTGTGTCAGGAGACTCACATAGTGATGTCTTCTCTACATCACGATGTGTCCCCGGTGTGTCAGGAGACTCACTAAGTGATGTCTTCTCTACATCACCATGTGTCCCCGGTGTGTCAGGAGACTCTCTAAGTGATGTCTTCTCTACATCACCATGTGTCCCCGGTGTGTCAGGAGACTCACTAAGTGATGTCTTCTCTACATCACCATGTGTCCCCGGTGTGTCAGGAGACTCACATAGTGATGTCTTCTCTACATCACCATGTGTCCCCGGTGTGTCAGGAGACTCACTAAGTGATGTCTTCTCTACATCACCATGTGTCCCCGGTGTGTCAGGAGACTCTCTAAGTGATGTCTTCTCTACATCACCATGTGTCCCCGGTGTGTCAGGAGACTCACTAAGTGATGTCTTCTCTACATCACCATGTGTCCCCGGTGTGTCAGGAGACTCACTAAGTGATGTCTTCTCTCCATCACCATGTGTCCCCGGTGTGTCCCCGGTGTGTCAGGAGACTCACAAATGCGGCTTTCACACCAGCGCTTTTCCCTTTCTAGCTCCTAGAGCTTTTCTGGTTCAGCTCCGGTTTCCCTTTTCAGCTCCCGCTCTGTTCACACCGCCCAGCTGCCGCTGCTGCGTCATGACGTCACCGTTTACGTCGCTGATTTTCTCCCCAACGGAGCTCACCTCACAACAACAACAACAACGGGGGACTGCGTCGGGTCGATGATCGTGTTGCTTTTAATCATACGAAGCCAGATTAAATGAAATAACGACTTCTCCAACCCTATACTTTTCTCCAGAGTGCCGTGGTTCATTGTTTATTAATGTGTTTCATTTAGCGACCGCTGCAGTGCTGGCTGCTCTTCCACGGGAGTTTATTCTCCCGTTAGCTCCGGGTTAGCTCACACGGCTCTAAAGTATTCACTGTCTGACTGTCACACAAGCAGCTGATACATATCCCCAGTTCCCCTTAAGTGAATGTGTGTCAGTCTGAATTGACGCTGTTTGGCATCACAACGCTGTTATGAAAGTTTCTCTGGTATAACATGGGTGATGTTAGCATAGCAACCGAAGCTAAACTGACTACTTGCTAAGCCGTTTTCTACAGGTACATTTTACCGGCGTATTTGTCATTATGATTCTACTTGTGATAGTCGGACATGACAACCTGTGCAGCCCATGTATTGATTCCATCCGATAGCTGCTATAATAACAAACGTCTGCCTGCTCTCCACAATGATCAATAACAGCGAACGGATGGTCAAAGTAAGGTACAAATAAACAGAATCACACGAAGCCTGGTTAGTGTTGCCTGACTTTATAAAGTGTGTTTTTTATAAGTGTGTGGTTGCCTTCTAGTCACTTTGCTCAGCGCTACTGCTTGTAGGCAGGCATGACGAGACTCTTCAGTCGACCCATGTTCAGGGGAGGTGGGTTTAGTTTCCTGCTCGCCTCCACGTAAGAGAGACGTAAGCGAAGCCGCCTCTTAGCTCCGGAGTCTTGCTTCTAGAGCGACAATTTTTTGGAGCTGGAAACGAACCTAACTGGATTCCGGAGCTAAGAGGCGGCGCTAAGAGGCGGAGCTAAGAGGCGGAGCTAAGAGGCGGAGCTAAGAGGCGGAGCTAAGAGGCGGAGCTAAGAGGCGGAGCTAAGAGGCGGAGCTAAGAGGCGGCGCTAAGAGGCGGAGCTAAGAGGCGGCGCTAAGAGGCGGAGCTAAGAGGCGGAGCTAAGAGGCGGAGCTAAGAGGCGGAGCTAAGAGGCGGTGCTAAGAGGCGGCGCTAAGAGGCGGAGCTAAGAGGCGGCGCTAAGAGGCGGAGCTAAGAGGCGGCGCTAAGAGGCGGAGCTAAGAGGCGGAGCTAAGAGGCGGCGCCGCTGCGGTGTGAAGAGGAAAAAACTGTACTTTTCAGCTCCAAGCCGGAGCTGAAAAAGCGCCGGTGTGAAAGGGGCAATAGTGACGTCTTCTCTACATCACTATTGCCCCTTTCACACCAACGCTAAGAGGCGGCGTCGCTTACGTCTCTCTACGTGGAGGCGTGCAGGAAACTAAACCCACCTCCCCTGAACATGGGTCGACTGAAGAGTTCTCGTTTTGTTCTTTTTTTATGAGATCCATTTGTGGCGGACGATATTTATTTGTGGCGGCTCGCCACAAATAAATATCGTCCGCCACAAATAAATCAATGTCTGGGAAACACTGCTTTATATCTGAGAGCTGTAATATATTGTTTAAATATAGCATAATATGGGACCTTTAGACTCTTTGTTATCACTTTAGACTCTTTGTTATCACTTTAGACTCGTTAGACTCTTTAATGACCCGTTAGACTCTTTAATGACTCTTTAGACTCTTTAATGACCCGTTAGACTCTTTAATGACCCGTTAGACTCTTTAATGACCCGTTAGACTCTTTAATGACTCGTTAGACTCTTTAATGACCCGTACTCTTTAATGACTCGTTAGACTCTTTAATGACTCGTTAGACTCTTTAATGACCCGTTAGACTCTTTAATGACTCGTTATACTCTTTAATGACCCGTTAGACTCTTTAATGACCCGTTAGACTCTTTAATGACTCGTTAGACTCTTTAATGACCCGTTAGACTCTTTAATGACTCGTTAGACTCTTTAATGATCCGTTAGACTCTTTAATGACCCGTTAGACTCTTTAATGACCCGTTAGACTCTTTAATGACTCGTTAGACTCTTTAATGACCCGTTAGACTCTTTAATGACCCGTTAGACTCTTTAATGACTCGTTAGACTCTTTAATGACAGACTCTTTAATGACCCGTTAGACTCTTTAATGACTCTTTTCCAGTGGAACTGCCCCCCCCCCTGCGACCCGACTCTGATGAGTAGTAGAAGATGGATGATCTGTTGAAAGGTGCTGTATAAATAAACGTGTTTCCCTAACCATACGCTCCTCTGCCCCCCCCCCAGCAGGAGGTAAGCCCCGCCCCCCTGTCAGGATGAAGAAGCCCTCGGCGGAGAAGGACAGCGACGAGTACCGTCACCGCAGAGAGAGGAACAACCTGGCGGTGAAGAAGAGCCGGCAGAGGTCCAAGCAGAAAGCTGTGGACACTCAGCAGAGAGTGAACGAGCTGAAGGAGGAGAACGAGAGGCTGGAGGCTAAGATCAAGCTGCTGAGCAAAGAGCTGAGCGTCCTGAAGGACCTGTTCCTGGAGCACGCCCACAACCTGGCCGACGGGGGGCAAGCGCCCGCCAACAGGGAGGGGGACTCAGCCAATGGGCAGTGAGAACATTCAGCCAATGGGGAGAGAGCAGGGGCTACAGGGACCATTTCTGCAAGATTCTTATTCTTCTTTTTCTACTGCGGGCTTCTGTAAGATAATCAATGAATGACTTTGTTAGAGAGCAGAGCAGGAGGAACATTCAGCCAATGGGCAGTGAGAGGGAGGAGCCAATGGAGAGGAACATTCAGCCAATGGGGAGAGAGAGAGCGACAGGGACGATTTCTGCACTAAACTTTTCTTTTGAGATCTTTTTCTACGTTTGCGGGCTTCTTCTGTCAGAGATCCCCATGATAGACTCGTTAGGGGGGGGGGGCTCTACCTGGCTCCCTCCCCAACGAGCCAATGGGCAGTGAGCGGGAGGAGCCAATGGGAGGAGAGCAGGAGGAACATTCAACTTCTAAATCTTCTTTGTGTGCGTCTGCGGGCTTCTTCTGTCAGAGGATCAATGAATGAGTGACAGACCTCGTTAGAGAGCGGTGTTCCTCCCCAGCCAGCCAATGGGATGTCTCCGTGGTGGTTCAACCAGCCAATGGGATGTCTCCGTGGGATTTGGGATTTGGACAGCAGAATATTCAGAGGAATACATTTGAATTAACGAGATTAAAATGTTCTGATCCGAGAAATCAAAGTGGGAAAACTACAAGAAAAATGCTAAATGATCTGAAATTAAGTTTTTTAAGTTAATTTGTTACATTTTCTTGTAAAAAACGCTATAAATATATTCAACTTTAATCTTTAAGATTCTAAATTAAGCTCTTCCTGGTTCCTCTCCAACCAGCCAATGGGATGTCTCCATGGTGGTTCAACCAGCCAATGGGATGTCTCCATGGTGGTTCAACCAGCCAATGGGATGTCTCCGTGGTGGTTCAACCAGCCAATGGGATGTCTCCGTGGTGGTTCAACCAGCCAATGGGATGTCTCCGTGGTGGTTCAACCAGCCAATGGGATGTCTCCGTGGTGGTTCAACCAGCCAATGGGATGTCTCCATGGTGGTTCAACCAGCCAATGGGATGTCTCCGTGGTGGTTCAACCAGCCAATGGGATGTCTCCATGGTGGTTCAACCAGCCAATGGGATGTCTCCATGGTGGTTCAACCAGCCAATGGGATGTCTCCGTGGTGGTTCAACCAGCCAATGGGATGTCTCCGTGGTGGTTCAACCAGCCAATGGGATGTCTCCGTGGTGGTTCAACCAGCCAATGGGATGTCTCCGTGGTGGTTCAACCAGCCAATGGGATGTCTCCGTGGTGGTTCAACCAGCCAATGGGATGTCTCCATGGTGGTTCTTCTGCTGCTGCTTCCTCTCCAACCAGCCAATGGGATGTCTCCATGGTGGTTCTTCTGCTGCTGCTTCCTCTCCAACCAGCCAATGGGATGTCTCCGTTCTGTTATCCCAGAAATCAAAGTGGCAAATCTACAAGAAAAATGCACAAGTTATCTGAAAAGAGAAAAAAAGGCTTTTTGTTTGTGTTTTTTTTGTCAATTTGTGTTTTTTCTCTGTAAAAAAACGCCAGAAAAATATTCAAACGTTTTCTCTAAAATGCAAGAATGATCTGAGATCAAGTGGAGAATGATAAGGCTTTTAGTTTGTTTTATTTGATTGTCAATGTGTTTTTCTCTTTATTCTCTAAAATTGTAAATGAATCCAAAAGAATAATATAATGTTTTCTTATAAATGTGTTTTTTTAATCTGAAACGACCACTTTGAGGCGTTGGGACTCGTTCCTGCACCTCTCCATGCTCCTCTGTTGCTTTCACTTTTCAAACATGTTTGATTCATAGTCTCCTGAACGAGGATTCAAAGTGGGTGAAGAAAACACTCGCTAACTCTTTTTAAAACCATGAAAACATTACATCTCACAGAATATCTAATCTAACATCACAATATCCCCGCCTTCATATTTAATCCATCAAAGCCCCGTTTTCTACAAGATCTTATTTGTTTTTCAAAAGCTGGAAACGTTTGGGTTGAAAAACAGAATTGAACTACTATAATTTATTGAAATCAGTCCCATTGTTGAAAGTGTGTGTGATTGGAGGAGCGTCTGTAAATGTGTTTTTAATGTTCACTACATGTCGGTGTTTCTATGGTGATTAAAAAGAGTCTATTTATACTAAAAAACACCTTTCCTTTACCTTCTGGCTCAGAATCCACCTTATGACACACAGGTCCCGCCTCCCGCCCCTCAGCCAACCACGTGCAAGGTGTTGGTGCGCTAGCCAATAGGAGCGCGAGTGATGTCACAATGTTCCGGAACACGGGGATTTTTAGCCTCTGCAGACCCTTGACATGCAGAAAGAGGAATAGGACCCTCTTTAAAGCTTCTCACACACATCAGGACATAATGAGTTAAAATCTGTTTCATGCTCCCGCTCCCATCAGAGGTTATTATAAATAACAATACTGGATTTAATCCAATATTTTGATCAGTTAAACAAAGTCAGACTGAGCTGTTATTCATCTATTAATCATTTGGGAACAACATCCAATAGTTTATTCAGTAAACACAGGTTCACCTGCCGAGACGGGATGAGCCAAAGACCACCAGCACATGATCATTAATGAGCTGTCGGAGTTAAGTCTGTGCTCATCACAGAAGGAGCAAGTGTCTTAGCATCAGAGACACTTGTTGATCAGAGAAGGAGCAAGTGTCTTAGCATCAGAGACACTTTCTGAAGAGTGTCTCTGATGCTAAGAGACTTGTTGATCAGAGAAGGAGCAAGTGTCTTAGCATCAGAGACACTTTCTGAAGAGTGTCTCTGATGCTAAGAGACTTGTTGATCAGAGAAGGAGCAAGTGTCTTAGCATCAGAGACACTTTCTGAAGAGTGTCTCTGATGCTAAGAGACTTGTTGATCAGAGAAGGAGCAAGTGTCTTAGCATCAGAGACACTTTCTGAAGAGTGTCTCTGATGCTAAGAGACTTGTTGATCAGAGAAGGAGCAAGTGTCTTAGCATCAGAGACACTTTCTGAAGAGTGTCTCTGATGCTAAGACACTTGTTGATCAGAGAAGGAGCAAGTGTCTTAGCATCAGAGACACTTTCTGAAAAGGGAAAGATATCATTACAAAAATATGTTTTATTAACAGAAACTGACCCAGGGTGTGTTTAACGAGACATTTACCTGTGTGTGTGTGTGTGTGTGTGTGTGTGTGTGTGTGTGTGTGTGTGTGTGTGTGTGTGTGTGTGTGTGTGTGTGTGTGTGTGTGTGTGTGTGTGTGTGTGTGTGTGTGGTGTGTGTGTGTGTGTGTGTGTGTGTGTGTGTGTGTGTGTGTGTGTGTGTGTGTGTGTGTGTGTGTGTGTGTGTGTGGTCTCTTTATAATGGCTCTGAGCAGGCGTGGAGTGTTTCCCTGGGGTTTGTCTGTCAGGAGCTTCTCCTCCTTCAGGTTTTTGTTCCCACAGCGCTTCCCATCATAATTGATATCTTAAGTATCATTGATATAAAACAAGTCCTTTAAACACTTCTCCTGGACTCTTAGAAACTGGGATGGGCTTCTTCTCAGTTTTCAGTCATAAATAAACCAATAATCTGCAGATGAATCCATGATGGATGACATGTGTGTGTGTCTTGTTAGCATGACTCAGCATTTTCTGCAGGATTCCTGCCGAAAAACGGACAAAAATTGATCATTTTAAAATGTTTTCATAGTTTTCTCAAGTTCTAAATCACACTCGACTTTGACTGATGTTTAAAGCGCAGAAAAAATCAAATAAAAGTCAAAAAACGGGAATAAAAGCTGTGCTAACATGATGCTAACATGATGCTAACGTTGTGGGAACATGTGCTAACGTTATGCTAATATGCTAACGTTGTGGGAGCGTTGTTTCAGGGTTTCTCAGCCTGTGGTTTTTCTACGGTGTGTTTTCTACGTGTCGGGTGGCGCTGCATGTTCTCTGCATGACGGTGGGGGTTATTATGGGATGCTTTCTGAATGTTATTGTGGGATGTGTTCTGAATGTTATTATGGGATGTGTTCTGAATGTTATTATGGGATGCTTTCTGAATGTTATTGTGGGATGTGTTCTGAATGTTATTGTGGGATGTGTTCTGAATGTTATTATGGGATGCTTTCTGAATGTTATTGTGGGATGTGTTCTGAATGTTATTATGGGATGCTTTCTGAATGTTATTGTGGGATGCTTTCTGAATGTTATTATGGGATGTGTTCTGAATGTTATTATGGGATGTGTTCTGAATGTTATTGTGGGATGTGTTCTGAATGTTATTATGGGATGTGTTCTGAATGTTATTATGGGATGCTTTCTGAATGTTATTATGGGATGCTTTCTGAATGTTATTATGGGATGCTTTCTGAATGTTATTATGGGATGTTGCTGAGCAGCGTTTCTCATGAAGCTTTTATATCACAGCGGGACATGCATTGTAAATTAAACTTCAGTATAAAAGAGAGTGTGTGTGTGTGTGTGTGGTTATTATCTCAGGTCTCCGCAGCGTGTCGACAAACATCTCAATTACATTTCTTCATTTTAAGATCAATATTTTAGTTTATTTTCAGCATTTATTTTTTAAATCCAAAGAAAATATGAAATATATTAAAAAGTATCAAATAAAAGAATATATATAATTGAAATGTAATAAAAGTCATATTGAATAAAGTATAAAATTGTACTTTTGGAGTTATTTAAAACTCAAATCGACACTTATAACATTTGAGATATAAAACAAGTTAAAATCATAAATATAAACCAAATACATTAATAATTATAATAATATAAATATGAAATAAATTACAGATTGTAAATCAAAATGAATATAAAAAGAGATAATATGAATTTAAAAAATAACTATTATATTACTATTTCTTTCTATTATAATTTGTATTTACGATCTATCATTGATTATTTATATTATTTAATTGTTAATGTATTTGGCTTATATTTACATTTTATATGATTTTACTTTTTCAATATAAGTGTCGAAATGTACGGAGGCCCTAAAGGGACACAAAAAAAAAGTCGGGATAACGGTTTTGATTTTTTTATTCATATTCACAGAAGTGTTCATACATCATTTAAAAAGTGTATTTTAAAATTAAATTATCTCTTTTAAATTGATTAAAAATAATTACTCAGCAGAAATGTCACATCATAGCTCTGAGTGTGTGTGTGTGTGTGTGGGTGTGTGTGTGTGTGTGTGTGTGTGTGTGTGTGTGCGTGTGTGTGTGTGTGTGAGTGTGTGTGTGTGTGTGTGTGTGTGTGTGTGTGTGAGTGTGTGTTTGTGTGAGTGTGTGTGTGTGTGTGTGTTGTGAGTGTGTGTGTGGGTGTGTGCGTGTGTGTGGGTATGTGCGTGTGTGTGTGTGTTTGTGTGCGTGGGTGTGTGTGTGAGTGTGTGTGTGTGTGTGTGTGCGGGGGTATGTGCGTGTGTGTGTGGGTGTGTATGTGTGAGTGTGTGTGTGGGTGTGTGTGTGCGTGCGTGTGGGTGTGTGTGTGTGTGTGTGTGTTTGAATGATTGACTCGAGGACTTAATGATCTCCTGACTCAGAAAAAAACGTTTTATTTGTTTTATTTCTCTCAAAGGTCGCAGACAGAGAACATCTCCTCCTGACACAGAAACACCCCCAAGCTAAAAATAACCGTGTGTGTGTGTGTGTGTGTGTGTGTGTGTGTGTGTGTGTGTGTGTGTGTGTGTGTGTGTATGTGTGTGTGTGTGTGTGTGTGTGTGTGTGTGTGTGTGTGTGTGTGTGTGTGTGTGTGTGTACGTGTGTGTACGTGTGTACTTTGATCCTAAATTAAAATAAACATGATTGCAAGGTGTGTTCAGGGACTGTAGGAAAGAAAATGCAGGGTTCAACACTTTCTAAAAGTAGTTTTAAATAAACTCAAGTTAACAATAAAACATAAAGTGAAAAAGGTTGCAAATTGACGAGAAAGGAAGGGGCTTCGTGTCAAGGAGCCTTCTTTTAACAAACATTTCTTCACCCTAAATATCAATATTTCTCCTGAATGAATAACATGTTGCAGTATGTCTAACGGCCCGTCCACACAGCAGCGTTAAAAAAAAAATCTTCCAACGCTTCTGCCCATTCACTTTGAATGGGGTGACGTCACTTTGCCTCACTTTTCGCCGAACTGCATTGTGGGAAGCAGAGCGGAGATTTTCAGGATTTTCAGGATTCAAAGTTGAGCAATGTTCAACTTTTGAAGCTGAGGTGGAAGCGTCAGCCAATCAAATCCCGTGTATGCAAATCTGACAGTTCAAGCTCTAGCCAATCAAACGGCGTGTATGCTGGGAGAGACATACCGCAGGTCATTTCCTCATATTCCAAAACATGGAGGAGAAATTAGCGGTAGGGAATCACCCGGTGCTTTATGACCAGACCCTATTTACCTACCGGGATATAAACCGGAGGAGCCAGGCATGGAGGGAGGTGGCAGAGACAGTGGTAGGTCTTCTCCTGTTTGGGGAGTTTATATCCAGTTTACTTCGGGCTTTTTTGCTTCGTATGTCGGGGGCGGGAGATTCATGTGATTGGTTGTTGGTGCCTTGCTCGCAAAAAATCCCCAAGCTTCAGATACGCCCACCTCCAAGATGTCTTTAACGCTGCTGTGTGGACGGGCCGTTACGCCGTTAATGTGAGGCAAAGTGACGTCACCCCATTCAAAGTGAATGGGCAGCAGCGTTCCAAGATTTCTTTAACGCTGCTGTGTGGACGGGCCGTCAGTGAGTTATGCATGTCTCAAACTGCAGATTGTTCCTGTGAGGGCGAGGCTGTCTCTCTCTGATCTCCAGAAACTCTGCAAACAGAAATACAGAATGTTCAGGATCCGTTATCAGCATGACTCATTCCTCTCTCTCTCTGCTGAGACACTGACAGAGAATCAGGAAAGAAACACTTCTTACGTTTCATTACATTCACAAAGAGCTTTGAACGATTCTAAGGCTTGATTCTCACGTGCACAATATGAACATGCAACACCCTC